CTGAAACATTTGAGCCTCTATGCATCTTTTGGCCAGTATCACCTCAGTTTCAAACTTTAGTTAATTAGTAGCATGTTCCAGTCAGCAAATCTACTTAACATTTTGAAATCTTGCAGGGGTGGGGTGGTGTGTGTGTGAGAGAGAGTGGTCATTTCTAAAGGACATTTTTCTGGCTGCTGTTCTTAATTGCTTAATAAAACACTTTTTGGTAAAGAACAGAATTTCTGTATACCAAGCACCACTAGAATATGCATCAAGTATGTTGTTATGAATATGGGAAATATCTGTATTGTTTTTAAAATTAATTTTGTGTGGACCTCTGTATATTTCATTACTGTCATGTTGTCTGCTATATGGGGGCAAAGAGTTAACTCAGTCCATTTTTTCAGATTTGCAGGGAATCCAAGGCCATGCCTTTAGACAGCCCCAGTTACTGGAGTTTAACAAACAATCCAGGTGTCAAGGCCTTTGAAGTTTTATCTCTGTCCAAACTGGGCACAGCACCCCCTTAGCTTGTGGAAAGGGTTCGGGGGAAGGCAGCACATGAAGAAAGAGAACAAAGAGGCTTGCTTGGTTTTTAAAAGACACACTCCATGAAGCTTAGGGGAGATGGAGATGAAGGGCCTGCAGAGAAAGAGGCTGTAACCCAACCTCAGAATAGTTGCGGTACCAGGGCTAAATTGGGCCTACCAAAATCTTGAGGGAAGTGCTAAACTTTAGGGAAGACTAATATGCGCGTCAGCCTTTTGGTTGTTTTAATCCTTTTCTCCTGATTGCTACGTTCCTATGGATAAATAAATAGTGCGTTGTTTTAAAGAAGCTGTCTGGTGTCACTGCATTTACTACTGTTCATGGCTCGTGAAGGGAAGCCTATAGCAAGGGCCAAACCCATTCAGACCGGCTGAGGAAACACAGTTGGTAAACAGGAGTACTTGTGGCACCTCAGAGACTAACAAATTTATTAGAGCATAAGCTTTCGTGGACTGAAGTGGGCTGTAGTCCACGAAAGCTTATGCTCTAATAAATTTGTTAGTCTCTAAGGTGCCACAAGTACTCCTGTTCTTTTTGCGGATACAGACTAACACGGCTGCTACTCTGAAACTTGGTAAACAGGGGGTGCTGTAGCCTACAGACCCAGTCTAAAAATGGGGTCAAACACAGGCTTTCACTCTGAGAAAAGTGCAAGGTGCTAGGCCTGTCCCTTGAAATATTGCCTCTGGAAAAACTGTGAGTGAGGGGGTCAAAGGTACAGCTAGCCCTGGAACAGTGGAGGACATGCCATCTTTCTGTCTTAGCCAAGAGATCCCCAAACCAAGTATATCCCTGTTCTGGAAAATTCATCTTTGGGGGGAAAAAACGTCAGTGTGGAACTGATGAAACACTGCTGATGCATCTCAGAAGGTGGTTTTTTTTGGAAACTGTGAACAGACAGAAGCAAAAATTAGTCACGGCAGAGACCACTTGGTATCTGGATCTAATTCTTTGAGTGATTCATCCATAAGAAATCACCACTTTGCCTCACATTTTGCATTTCCCTCTTTATTTAGAAAGTAGCTCAGCTTTACCAAGAATATGTGACCTTTTGTCTGAACTGCTTTTTGATGGATGGGTGCTTGCACCATCCTCAAATTATCATGATTTCTAAACCACTGGTTCTGAGACACAAAAAAGCAGCAAATTGTGGGTTTTATCACTCCCTGAGTTCTTGGTGCAGTAAAACTATAATCTTGCAACATCAAAGGGGGAAATCTATAGCATGTGGCATTTTCAATGTAGATTTTAACACAGCAAAGTTATACATGGAAAGGAGTAGCCAAGTTCCGACTGTGATCTGGTCAATTATTGATTGGAATGCTAGAGAAGTGAAAGCACTGAGAACATAACTGCT